CTTAAGTTTCTTCGAGATACCTTTGATATATGTTCAACTAATACTACGAAGACTGGTTGGAATATAACCCATAATCCGAATTGTAAAATTAAAAAATTTCACTGTCAATAATAGGTCAAGCGTGAATGCAATTTTTAGTATCGATAATATTCATCGACTTTTTTTTTTAAAAAAAAAAATTAAAATTAAACTCAACTCGAATAATAATTTTGTTGAGCTCCGTATACTGCTTGCATAATACTATGTAACTCAAAAATTCATTAAGACGAAAAAATATAATTATTATTAAAGAAAACTTTTGAACACATTTAAAAAAAATTCATATCCAATTAGAATAAAACAATTTTCCAAGCTTTATTTTTATTTATATTGTCCAATCCAGTTATCTCCATTATTAAAGTTTATACATACACTCACAAACTTGCGAATAACAAATCAAGGAAAATGTTACAGATCGACATTGGCAAATTTGAATTAGTAAACTAGATAAGGTTGTTGTGCGGCGACGAAGTCGCCGCTAGATATGGTTATTGTCTACTTTCTTGATATTTGGTTATGACCTTTATTAAGTTATACATTAAATGATATTTGGTATTTTTGTCGTTATTGCATTTATAAAATGTTTAATTGTTTTGTTAGTAATGGTCTAGATAAAGCTTATCCCCCAATCTTTTTATTTTAATTTTTTATTTTATATTTTTTTTATTCGTCTTCCCTCCCCCTCCCTCATTCTTTTTTTTTATTTTTTCTCTTGACGAATTTAGGTTAGATTCAGATTTCGATTAGATTGATCGGTTTTGTCTTTTTATTTTAATCAATTAAATTAAATTAGTGGTCAACCCTTAAAAAGTTAGGCTTAAATGTTTTATTATACAAACTGATTTTAATTTTTTCCATTAAAACTGTATTACTGTATTACTGTAATAAAAACGGTCAAGATTTTTTTGAAAATCTTTCCTTTCTTTTACAAGGCAATGATAGGCACACAAATATCCTTTTAAGTCAATTTACCTTTTTTATATTAATCAATATTATTTTTTAGGATATATTTTGTTAAATTATAGCGCAATCTAATATATATAAATGTTTACCGTCTAATCCGCCTAATGTTTCAAATAAAAAATTATAATTAACGAATTGTAGTTAATGAATAAACATACACAGTATTACCTTCTTCGAATAAAGAATTTTTCTTAGCATCCGAGACTGGCTTTAATGTATGCAAAGGATGTTTCAACTATCATATAAATGTTTTGGTTATGATAAATTCATTCTTACCAACTTCATCCTTATTATTTCTTAGTTTTGTTTTGGTAAATATATTTTTAAATTTATCTATTAAGCTATTACCTTTATCATTGTTATAAAAGAAAAAAGTTTTATTTATCGTAATTTTCATTTTCATTCTGATCATTTTTTGTGAATGGCGCACAACGTGCAACATGCATGCAATTCGTCAATCATTTTAAATTTGTGATTCTCCATAAATTTTACTTTATGATTTTCTGATGTCCTTTAATATTTTTAAAAGCTATTTGGCCTGCTAAAATAAATATCCATAAAACCAATTAAAATATAAATTATTATAAATATAGAATCGAAACTTTTGTATTTATGATAAAGATTGCCGACGAAGACACATTTTTTAAATTGTAAATTAGAAATCTTTTATAACACAGATTATCTCATAAAAATGTGGAGATAATAAGTTACATTTTTATAAGTTCAAATTACAATTAAAACTAAAAAAATACGAATAGCCTGGGATTTCGTCCCGCAAAACATTGTATATAAAGAAAACCTTTTTAAACTTTTCAAATTTAAAATAATATAATATTTCATATTCATTTATCTACAGAAAAAAATTTTTTAATACTAATCAGAACAACGAATATAAGTAATTTATATTATGTGTTTTTTTTTACAAAATATTGCAGAGTTGCGTGACATTTCTATATATTCGATTACTTTTTTAAATTTGATTCAAAACCAACATTGTTTCTTCATTTATTTTTAATGGTAATTAATAATTGAACAACATGGAGGCAAGTCAAATTTAGATATGCGTATGATCAAGTTTAGTTTTAGAATAAATTTTCCTGTACCGGGGCTCTTATCTAGTCCTCATGTGATGAATTATTAAAGAAATTTATTTATATAGATTCTAGGATAAGAAACTGGACCCCGATCTATTTTAAGAAATCTATATCTCGTGAACGTTTTGAAGAAATCAGAATAATAATATTTCTACCGACGCTACAGGGTGAATCCAATAGCATGGGTAAGATAATTCATAAAATAAATTCTTTATAAATTTAAAGTATGACAACTATCAATCATTTGGAAAAAAAATATATTTATATTTGCTGAGCTGACTAAGAACTTAAATACACTTTTCCGATCTGATAAGGTTATAACACATACTCTCTCTTATTTGTTTTGTTTTGACCGTAGTGATATTTCTTCCCTTTCTATTATTGCTCAAGTCCCATATATTCAGCTAGTCGTTGACGTTTTTTATGAAAAAATAATAAAGACTTTAAAAGATATTGCATTTCTCAGTCTAAATTTTTTATACTATAGAATTTGATTCATATGGTAATTTAAAATCAAACAAGAAAAAAAATAAAAATCAACGAACTCTTATTATTCAAATGAACCCAAAATAATAAGTAAGCATTAATAATCAAATAAAAAAATAAATAAATAAATGGTAAAAAACGGTCATAAAATTATTTTTTTTAAAGAATTAAAAAGCCTTATTATCACAAACCCAAAAAAATATTTTAAAAGAAAAATAAAAAAATTTAGAATACCAAGTTACAAGAAATTTAAAATAATAAATAAATACATAAATAAATCTATAAGCCTAATGTAGTAGCCCAACCGAAAAAAAAACTAGTGCGTTAATAATCAAAAAAAAAAAAAAAAAAAAATCTAACAATTAACAACGACGATCAAGCTTATTTTACTTGCTGAAAATAAATAAATAAATTAATTAAAAGACATAAGATTCTATCATACTAGATCCTCAACCCTCCATCAAATTAATAATCATAAACCTTATCATATTACACGCTTACTATCAAACGAAAATCATACCGCAAAAAGTTTAATATAATTTTAATAAGTTTGATATATAAAAATCATTTAAAAATATTATATTAATACAAGTATTATTTATAATTATAAATAAAAATTATTTAAAGTATAAGTTAACATTTTGAAAGTGACAATTATTAAACTTCAGAGCCTCTTCTTTACTACTATTATTGAAAGGTATATATTAATTGGTAAATCTTGTGATTAAAGATTTGTAATTTGAGAAGTTTGTAATGGTTTCTTATTGTAATCTTGAATTTGTTGCACAGGTTCATAAATTTCTTGATTAATATTTTGAACTTGATTTTGAGATTCTTGGTTCTTTATATTATAAGTAGAAATAAGTTGCTGCAAGATATTCATTTTTTGTGAGTATATGGAAAACTGGTACAGTACGATTCGCCAGACCAGTACGATACAATTATGCAGATCAGTATTTTTGTTGAAATTTGACATCATACTGTACTGTACAGTCCTATAATAAGGCTTAGTTATTATAGGACCAGTACAGTATGATACGAATTTTATAAAATCAGTCTATATTATCATATTGAATTAGTTATATAATTATTATTCTAGGACCAGTAAGGTACAGTACGATGTCAAATTTTAACAAAATTACTGATCTGCATAATTGTACTTTACTAGTATGGCGAATCATACTGTACCAGTTTTCTATCTACCCATTTTTTGTTGATCATTTGGCATTTTATATTTTTGTATTGCATCAACACTTCGATGTCCAGTAATATTCATAATAATTTGTTCTTCTACATTTATATCTTGCATTAGTTGTGCTGATATTTTTCGCCCAAAATGATTAGTTAATAAGCTATCAATTTCAATGCCAGTTTCATGAATAAGATCCTTCATAAATTTAGATAGTGAATTCTTGTCAATATGTTGCTTATAATACCAGTTTTCAGTTTCTTTCCCTAATAAATTATAAGTTTGTAAAATTTATACAATTGTTATAAAATAATTATAATTAACTTACATTTTGAATCTGTTTCTAAATAAAAATTTGAATCTGCATTTAATGGTCTTTTTATAAAATATAATTGATAGTAACTTTACAAGTTATCAAAGATTATTACACAGTTCACAATATTAGTCACAAATATTACTGCACCTTTGAAGATCTACAACTGCGCTGAATATCATGAAAATGATACATGTTAAACATGTAATACATGTATCATTTGATCGACTTTATAATATATATATCGAATAGTTTACTTTTTAATACAAATATTATATAATCTTCTTTTTATTATTTATATTATATTATCTAGCTTTCATTATATGTATTATTTATACTTATCAAAAGCGTAGTATAGTACTAGTTAACAATTTTATATAAATAGATCTGTAAGTTAACCTTGAATCAACAGAGTTTTGCTCAGAGATTAAGATAAGTCTTGGGATTAGACTTATAACTCTACAGTTAATAAAGTTACTATTTTACACTTTTAACCTTCTTCTTATCTTCATCATAGGATTGATCATGATAACCTACTACACAAATGAATCGTGATAATAAATTATTTGTCTGTTAATTATTAATTTCTCTTATGAAAGGCCTTTGAGATAATTGTGTTATTAAGTTTATTGATTTTGTTAGCTTGGTTTGAGACGATTCTAGGTCTAACAATGGTAAGCAATACATCAATTAGATATTTTGCCATGAAGGACAAATCTACTAATTAATGCATTGCTATAGTAACTGTGGAGTTATCAGCAATTACCCATGAAGTTATGATATAATTATTCAGCCCACAGATTATTATAAAATAATATTTTAAAAATTATTCTTTTTTATTTTTCATTTTATATCATTTAATCTCAATATAACTGCATTTTTTTATTATACCAAAATCCAAATAAAAACCTTTTAAAACCTTTTATTTATAATAAAAAATTATTTTATTATTTAGCTAATTTTAAATATAATGATTCTAGAGATAGTGATATATAAGTAATTATTAATTGTATTTCAATTAATAAATCAAATAAGAATTGGATTATACAGTTAGAATGATATCATGTAAATTTAAATGGAAAAATTGAAAATAAAATTGATCTTTAATGAATATAATCAAGGTTCTTTATTTATTTATTTTATCGTTACATATTTTTTATAAAAAAACTAATATTCATATATTTAGAATTGCAAAACTTTTTTGCACAAAAGAATTTAATTGAGAGTTAATTAATGATAACTGATCTCTTACTTCCAACATATTTTTAAAGAAAATATATTTAATAATTATTCTTTTATATTTAATATTAATAGTAAATAGAATTTAATTAAGTATATATAATAATTAATAAATAATTAACATATTA